AAAAAGTAAAAAAGGGTTAATCTTATGTGCATTTCACCTCAATTAAAAATTTAAACCACCAAAAGAATTTTAAAAAGAAAGAAAACAGTAAAAAAGCAAGTAGCTTCTGTGATGTGTCATCACAGCATGCCCCTTTTGTCACTGCGTGTAGGCTGTTGCAAATCTCTCCCCTCTTCGCTGTCCCCACAGGGTCCTGGCTGCCCTGCTCTTCTGCCTGACACTCGTCCACACCCCAGTCACCTCCATAATCTCCCAGCTTCTGCTCCCTATCACTCAGCCAAAGGGAGATTTCAAACCAGAAGGCAGCCCACCCCACATGTCCTGCTTTTAAACGCCCCCAGTGGCTTCCTGCAGCCCTGAGTCTGAACCCATTCCAAGCCTCCCATGCTTGGGCTCCCGGAGCTCTGGGCTGGCTGGTGAGCTTTGGGAGGGTAGGGACTGTGCCTGCTTGTCCAGTACTGCAGTCCCCAGTGTCCAGTTGCTGTTGAGTAAATTACCGAGCAGGATGTGGGATGGTGTCGGATTAAGAAAGGCTGAGAGGCTGAGGACCCCCATGTCCTCCCACATCCTCCCGTTTCTATCACAGGGTCCTATATCAGAGGCAGCCTGACAGGCAGTTCATTAAGAATGGGGCTCAGGGGCTGGACCGCCAGGTTCAAGTCCCCTCTCTTCTAATTTGACCTAGAGGAAACAAATACTTCTCTGAGCCTCAGTTTCTTCACCTGTTGGGTGGGAACCCTCCCCTTGGGTTTGGGGCACAGCCAGGACTTAATAAGCGGGAAGGCCTCTCCTGGTATGCAGCCCCGAGGGCCCGTACCTGGCTGGCTTTGGCGTTGACGTCTCCGAGCCGGAAGAGCTGCAGGACAGTCTCGAGGTCATCCGGGGTCTTCAGGGTGGCCAGGGCGGTGAGCATGATGGGGCTGTAGCCGGCGCGGTTCTGCTTGTCCACCTGGCAGACGCCTGAGGGGAGGCGCCGGGAGGACATCAGCCCACAGGTCCCCTGATGCTGGCCAGTGTGCCTCAAGGCTGGGGGATGGTCCCCGAGGACCAGGCCACGTCTCTGCCGTCAGACTGGAAGCCTTGCTCACCACCGTAACGAGCGCTGGGCATTGTGTCTCTTCCATCAGGCTAGGCGTGGCCTAATTCCTCCTTTCTCTTGGCCTGAGAACCCCATTCTGCCCCCGGGTCTCCATCTCCATTATGGGAGGGACTCCTAGAGGTGGAGGCTGCATCTGCTCCAGCAGACTGGGGCTCCCAGGACACTGGCACCGACACTTAGGGCTGAAAGTAGGAACTGTGTCTCCCTCGTTAATCTGGAAGAGCTCCCAGTCACCTTTCAGACTGGCCCCTGTCTTTTCCTTTAGAGTGTGGGCTCTGCCTCCTTCATCAGACGGACACGGGGGCTGTGTCTTCCCCATCACACCAAGGAAGGGCAACTTTCTTCCTGACTAACTGAGGACCCCAACTTCTCTCCAATCCCCAGACCGGAGGCCACGTCCTTCCCTCAGAGTAGGGTTCCAGAGGTGTCACCTTCATTATACAGGGGTCGTTAGGGGTGGTGGAAGGGCCACTAGTTTTCCATAAGACCATGTCTGCCTTTTCCAATACAATGGGGCCACAGGTAGGGCCTGTACCTCCCTCACCAGACTGGGAGGACAGTGTCTCCCCCATCATAATGTGAGGGTGGCATCTCCTCCGCCAGACTGGGAGGGCGGTGCTCCCTCATCAGATCATCAAACCCGAGGTGTCGGCCAGCCTGCCTGCCAGGGAACCCCTCGTCCCGCCCCGCCGGGCTCACCGCTGTCCAGCAGCTGCCGCACCACGGGGAAGTTGGCGTGGGACACGGAGTAGTGCAGCGCGGTGTTGCCGTTGCTGTCGGCGATGTTGACCACGTAGTCCAGCAGCCGCGCTGACATGGCCCGGAAGGTGACCAGGTGGCGACGCACCAGCTCCGGGTGGGCGTCGCTGCGGCAGGCCAGGCGCAGCCACTCCTGCAGCACCGTGGTGTAGGCCACTTTCTGGATGCAGGTTGGGGAGGACAAGGGGGCGTGAGGGCCCAGATGAAGCCCCACAAGGGGTGTGTAGACATCCCCATTCTGAACCAGACGAGCCCCCTGGAGCAAAGTATAGTGTCCCCGTCCCAAGACCCTACAGGAAGTGTAGACACTGCCATCCCAGATATGCCTTCAGAGGAAGGGGTGAGCATCTCCAGTCTGGATGTGATCTTCAAAGGCAAGTGCAGACACCCGTGAAGGGAAATAATCCAGCCCCTTCCGTCAAGCCCCTGAAGGAACAAACCAAGGCCAGCTTTGCTGGCAGGCCATCATCCTCGGCCCCTCCTCGCCTCCCTCGCACATCTCTAAGACCCACGACTCAAGCACCCACCCACCCCAAGCTTCCAGCCTGGATCCCCAAGAGGCAGAAGTAGAGAGACACTGTAGACGAAGAGAAGCTGGGGTGGGGGTGGAGGGAAGGAGACCCCCACCCCAGGCCCAGGGCCCCAGCGCACCAGCTCCCGCTCGCTGAGGGCTTTGGGGTTGTCCAGGTACTTCTCCAGGGCCAAGCAGGCTGAGATGAGGTCGGGGCTGAGCTCCATCCTGCCAGGGGCAGATGAATGGGGAGTTTATCTTGGGAGCACCCACCTCAGCCTCCTGAGTGCCCTCAACTCCCCACATCCAGCTGTGGTGCTCAGAGAGGGCCTCAACTCCCTCCACCAGGGCGGCCCTCACCCAGTCCTGCCAGGGCTTACCAGAGTGGTGGAATCTCACACCCCCCTTCTCTGGGGACACACTTTTACACTGTACCCCCAGGGGCCGACATGAAGAACATACCGACCCCAAGACAAAGTGGATGCAAAGGCCAAAATTCCAAGTGGCCAGTGGCAGATGGAAAATCTTTTTCTGAGGGCAGATTTTTCATCATGGGAGAGAAAAAGAAACATAAACAGGAGGGGCAGGTGGGGCAAATGTCCCAAAGAAGGTGGGAGGCTTAAGGACAAACTGCCTGCCCCTTAAATCCTAGCCCCAACAGCCCAAATTGCCCCCATCAGGCCTTTTATCAAAATCTCCACACCTTCAGATGTCTAGGAGAAAAGTACTTGTTCACTAATTCAGACTAAGGTGTGCATGACTGATGGGAGTTTCCCTCAGAGGGTCTGAATGATGGCATTTGAGGTGGAGGTCACCTCTCTGTCCCCCTAAGCCCTGCCTGAATCCCTCCCACACAGAAAACAGACCGGATCTCCTCCTCTGCATTGGATCCTGACGCCCCCTCAGCTGTGGGCATGTGCCGAGGCTCCCGGGACAGCTGGCACTCCTCCTGGCTGGTCTTGGCCTTTGCCACCTCCTTGGGCCTGAGCTGGGGGGCTTCGGCCACACTCGGGATCCTCTCCTCCGGCTCTGGGGCCTCGTTCTCTGTGCTCTCGTTGTCCGAGAAGTTCTCTGCCGTGCTGGAATCCTCAGATGAGGACTCATACCTGGGGGAGACACTGCAGATGGTGGGGGAGGGGCACTTGACCTCTCTGGGCCTCAGTTTCCCCATCTGTTAAATGGGTATAATGCCAGTATCAACCTCACAGGGCTGCAGGGATGCCGCTTACAGCACCTGGCACACAGTAAGTGCTCAATAAATACTGGCTATGTTTGTGATCGTGCTTGGGGGTAGGGAGGGGCACTGCTTTTCCCTTCCATCCTTTGATACCCTTCCTGCTTTGCTCTTTACACAGGTGTTATACTGGTTCAGACCCTCACCCCACTGCATATAGGACCCTCGTGCTTCTTGCTTCCTCTAGACAGAGTCCACGCTTCACATCCCCCAACTGTCCCTGACCATCATTCCCCAGTTCTCCCGCTTCTCACGTCAGTGCTCTGCCCCAGCTCTGAGACTTCATCCAGGCTGTGCCCTCCACCAAGGGACCGCGTCCCCCCACTCTGCACCCTGCAAGCTTCTGCTTGTCCTGTAGACATGTGTCCCCTCCATCAGTGACTTCCCTGGGGCCATCACTGCCTCCTCCAGGGCCCCATGCTGCCTAAGCATCCCCCATTATTGTTCCAACCATGCTGCGCTGAAACTGCCCATTAGTGCCTGAGAGTGCGCTGGACCAGCAGCTCCAGCGGGGAGGCGAGGGGAGTCTGGCAGCTCCTGAGGGGCAGGATGGCTGAGCAGTAACTGCACAGGCGCTGGAGCCAGCCCCCTGGGCCCCACTGGGCCTCAGTTTCCTCATCTGTCTGCTGTGCTTCTGTTAAATGAATGAATCAAAGCAAGGGGCTGAGACCAGTCCTCTTACCTGCCGTTGACCCCCACGAACTGGAGGCTCCTCCGCCGGCCCTCGGGGTCTGCGGGCTCCTCTTTCCGCTTCATGATGGACCGCACGCCTGCCTGGGCCCCACCTGGTGGGGAAGGGTGGTGTGGTGAGGGTCTCCCAAAGCCAGACCCCACCCCTGGGCCTCTGGTGCCTGGCCCTCTCGGCGGCCACCTCCACTTACCTACTCCCCCGGCCTCCTGTGACTCCAACTCCTGAGAGGCTGCTTGCCTGGTGGGCTCCCTGTTGGCGGCATCACAGGCAGGCACCCGGCCTGTGTTCTTCTCGGGCTGTGCCAGGGAGGGCCCCTCAGACTCCGAGCGTGAGGAGGACGACTCTGCAGGAGCCTGTGGGAAACCTGACGGGACACGAAAAGAGGCTCTCACTCTGGGCAACAATAGCAAAATAAGAACAGTAATAATAACTGCCTCCTGGGGTCACAGAACCAGGTGCCCTGAAGGCTCACTCTGACATTTCTTCATCAAGTCTTCCCAGCCCGTGCAGAAGATGGGTTATTACAAATAAGGAAATTGAGGCACAGAGGGTCACCCAGCTAACAAGTGGCAGAATCCAATTCCAACCACACTTTGTTTCCTGCCTCACAGCTGGTCAGGATCAGGGAGGACCATGAGACCCTGTAATCCTGGCTTGTGACCCCCACTCCGACATCATACTGAGCATTGTGTCTGGTCCCGGTAGGTGCTGTGTGACCTCAGGCAAGTCACTTAACCTCTCTGTGCCTCGGACAAATGACATTTCCTACATCACGGAGTCGTTCAGACTAAAGACAGTAATGTCAGGGAAAGAGCTTAGAGCAACAGCTGCACATCAAGAGCACTTGAAGAACAATTTGTTAATTCAGGAGAATTGTAAACTGTATTTTGATAAGATTTAATATTATAATTTTTTTAACAGAAGCAGACTTATGCCATAATCATTTTGTATCTGGCTTCCTTCTTTACTTAGTGAAGCAGGTGTTCTGTTAATAATCATGAAAAAGAAACAATAAGGACTATTAGAAAATGAAAATTAAAACCCCACCCAGGGAGAGTTTCAATTCGGGCCAATGAAAATGAGATGGATGGTGGTAATGGCTGCACAACAATGTGAACGTGCTTAATGCCACCAAACTGGATACTCAAATGTGGTTAAAATGGTAACTTTTATGTTGTGCACACTTTATCAAAATTAGAAAAAGCCCACCCAAGTTGGTCTGAGAACAAATGTGACCTTGTGGGACCCAGCCCCCACCCCTGCCCTCAAGGGTGCTCCCCCAGCTGGGGATCCCAAAAACCCAGTCACCACTTCAAGTGGCTGCCTGGGTCTCGGAACCCTCTCAGGTCCTCCCAGGCCATATGTGGCTTCCTTGTCACCACTTCCCCAGGATGTCCCCTTCCTGCCACCAGCCATGGGCTCTGCAGACCAATTCATTTTAATTCCCTTTAACGGTTAACTTTTTTTTGACAGTAACTACTTCCTCAAGTCCGTGGGCGACGCTTGACTTGAGCTAAGTACAGGGAGTCAACACTCAGCACAAGTAAAGCACATTGAACAGATGACACATTGGCCATAAACACTTCCGACGGCGTCCCAGCCCAGGGCAGGGCCGGGCTGGGCTGATTCCAGAGCCGGAACTCCAACTCCCAAGGGGAACCAAGATCCAACGCCGGCTTTTAATGTGAATCTCCTAATTTTTATTTTTCTAAGCCTTGTCAATAAATTCACGTCAAACAAACAAACTAATTTGTGGCACTGTGTGGCCAAGTGGAAGGTCTCAGGAGGCAGAAGGACCAGTTGACAATCTCAATGTCAGTCTGAACTCAAGCCTCCTGATGTAAATGCCTGGGAGGCTCAAAAAATCAGGTGGAGTGACATGCTGCTCAGTGAAAGGAGCCAGTCACAAAAGGACAAATACTGCATGATCCTACTTATATGAGGTCCCTAGGAGAGTTAAATCCATAGAGACACAAAGTAGACTGGTGGCTGCCAGGGGATGGGGGCCAGAGGTGGGGAGTTGGTGGTGACTGGGGCAAGAGTTTCAGTTTGGGAAGATGGGAAAGTTCTGGAGATGGATGGTGGGGATGGACGTACAACAATGTGAATGTGCTTATTAACACTGAACCGGACACTTAAAAATGCTTAAGAAAGTAAGTTTTATGTTATATGTATATTACCACAATTTTTTAAAAAGTGAAAAAAAAAAAGTGAAGTCGAGCAGCCTCCTGGCCAGTCCTGCCCGGGGGGAAGCAGGCCCCACCCCCTCAAAAGCTTGGATGGTGCCTTCCAGCTTGAGAAGTTCAAGGTCAGGCACTGCAATACTGAAATAACAATAACAATAATGAAACTGATAATAGTTATTATTGTTATTCCACCGGGAGACAGGGTAAACTGTTATCAAAATTTATATATAAGAACTAAAATCCGGGGTTGGGGGGGAGGGACAGATTAGGAGTTTGGTATTGATAGGTACACATTACTATATATAAAACAGATAAACAACAAGGACCTACTGTATAGCACAGGGAACTATATTTAATTTCTTGTAATGAGCTATAATGGTAAAGAATTTGAAAAAATATATATATGTGTGTATGCATTTAAAAAAAAGAACTAAAGTCCAACTCAGCAATCCCACTCCAAGGCATATATATCTAGAGAAAACTCCAATTCAAAGATACATGCACCCCAGTATTCATAGCAGCATGATATACTGTAGCCAAGACATGGAAGCAACCTAAATGTCCATCGACAGATGATTGGATAAAGAAATTGTACACACACACACACACACACACACAATGGAATACTACTCAGCCATAAAAATAATTAATGTCATTTGTAGCAAAATGAATGGACCTAGAGATTATCATACTAAGTGAAGTAAGTCAGACAGAGGAAGACTAATATCATATGAGGTCACTTTTATGTGCACTCTAAAAAAATGAGACAAATAAACTTATTTTCAAACCAGAAATAGACTCATGAACATGGAAAACAAACTTACGGTTTCTAAAGGGGAAAGGAGGGTAGGGATAAATTAGAAGCTTGGGATTAATCAAATAAACTATTACATATAAAATAGATAAACAACAAAGTCCTATGGTACAGCACAGGGAACTATATTCAATATCTTATAATAACCTATAACAAAAGACAATATGAAAAAGAATATGTATATATACATATATGTATAACTGAATCACTATGCTGTACACCAGAAACTAATACAACATTGTAAATCAACTATACGTCAATAAAACATTTTCTTATAAAAAAACCTCTGAAGGATTAGTATGAAGGCTCAACTACAAAGCGACAGGAAGACAATGTAGCAGAATATTGGGGGCCTCAAGAAAGGGAAAGACCACTTTAAAAAGTCCCTTAAGCATTTGCAAATGTTAACCACTATATATAAAAAGTTAAAAAACAAATTTCTTCTGTATGGCACAGGGAACTATACTGAATATCTTGTAATAACCTTTAATAAAAAAGAATATGAAAATGAATATATTTATATGCATGACTGGGACACTGTGCTGTACACCAGAAACTGACACACTGTAACTGACTATACTTCAAATAAGAAAAAAAGTCCTCTAAGCACAAACCACATGTAGAAAGTACGAGGCGATCTCACTTAAATGTGGAATCAAAAGAAACCGAACTCAAGATACAGAGAGAACAGATTGGCGGCTGCCAGAGGTGGGGGATGGCTAGGACGGGGGAAGGTGGTCCAAAGGTACAAGCCTCCAGGTATAAGATACAGGAACACTTTCTTTTATTGGGCTACCTTTACTGCATTTTGCAGATATTGCATTTTTTTACAAATTGAAGGTTTGTGGCACCCCTGCATTGAGCAAACCTACCAGCACCATTTTTCCAAGTGTTTGTTCACTCCATGTCTCTGTGTCACGTTTTGGTAATTCTCACAATAATTCAAACATTTTCATTATTATTTTAGTTGTTACAGTGATCTGTAATCAGTGATCTTTGATGTTACTATTGCAAAAAGACTAGGACTTGCTGAAGGCTCAGCTGATGGTTAGCGGTTTTTAGCAATGAACTATTTTTTAATTAAGATGTGTACTTTTTTTAGACATAATTCTACCACACACATAATAGACTACACTACAGTGTAAACACAGCTTTCATATGCACCAAAAAAGTGTGTGACTTGTTTTATACTGCAGGGGTCTGGAACCAAACCCACAATATCTCTGAGGTCTGCTTGCAAATAAGTCCTGGGGATATTAATGTACAGCATGATGACTGTACTGTGTATTTGAAAGCTGCGAAGAGAGTAGATCTTAAAAGTTCTCACCACAGGAAAAAAAACTGTAACTCTGTGAGGTGATAGATGTTAATTAAACTTACTGTGGTAATCATTTTGCAATATACACATATATCAAATTAGTAATTTGTACACCTTAAACTAATATCATGTTATGTCAATTATATCTCACAAGTAGAAAAAAATTAAAATTAAAAAAAGAAAAATATGATGAGTTTAACTATTTCAACATGAAGATTTCTATTTGGTTTAAAAAAAAAAGGACTCCTAGGCAAAATTAATTGACAGAAGGATACAAGCTGTGGGAAGACAGTCATAACGCCAAAAACAGGCAAGGAATTATCTCCTAGAACAGGAGTCAACAAAATTTTTCTGTAAGAGGCCAGATAGAGTAAATATTTTTGGCCAAGTGGACCATAAGTTCCCAAATAGAGAAAAAGCAGCCCTCGACAGTACATATTAAATGAATGGGTGTGGCTGTGTTCTCATAAATTTGAATTTCATATAATTTTGTTCATAATTGCACAATGTTATTCTTCTTTTCACATTGTTCAACCATTTAAAAACATAAAAACCGAGGGTGGGAGTAGGTATAGCTCAGTGGCAGAGTACGTGCTTAGCATAAACGAGGTCCTGGATTCAATCCCCAGTAACTCCATTAAAAATAAAAATAAATAAAAACATAAAAACCATTCTGAGCTCACAGGGTATATAAAAACAGGCAGTGGGCTGGATTTGGCCTGCCTGCTATAGTTTGACAACCCCTATTCTGGAATATGCCAGGTATATCTCAAAATTGCCCAAAGCAAAATGGACAATGACTACAAGTAAGTGATTCACAGAGGATTCTTATTAAACATACATGGTGGTGCCCCATCTCACCAGAAATCAAAGGAATGCTAATTTTCCTTTATTCTGTTTCCCCGGTGGCGTCTCCTTTGAGAGTGGTTACCGCAGCATCCCACTCTGGGGATGCTGTCTGTGTCCCCCCTGACGCCCCAGGTCCCTTCCCCAAAGGAATGCAAATTAAAACAAGAAGACACCACTTGGCACCAGCTTAAGATGGACAAAAATTTAGAAAGACAGGTAAAACTATATGTTAGTAGGGATGTGAGGAAATGGGCACCTCAGACCAAAGCATGGCTGCTGGGAGCGTGGACAGGAAGACCTTTTCCAGAGAAGACCAGACAAAATCTGGAATGAATTGAATTCTCTGTGACCCAGCAATCCCTTGGGAAGGAGCAGACAATGATAGTACCAGCACTGTTCACGGCAGCCAGGAGCTGGAAGTAACCTAGGTGCCCACCAAGGGGGGGATCAGATGAGAAAGAACACATACCTAGGGCGGAAAGCTACACAGTCATTAAAAGAGACAAACCAGATTTATAAACATCAGGGTGGAGAATTCGAAAACAGTGTGTAGGGAAGAAAAAAATAGGAAACAGAATGAGATTTTTTTTTTCCCCTAAACTAAAGCACAATACCATTTTAGGAAATTAAACAGGCACAGGGCATATTTTTTAAGAATACTAAGATATCTATATAGCTTCTGGAAGGTGGGTTGCAAGGAATGATATTACAGTGGGGAGGGCGGGGTGTGATTGAGCAGAGGGTGGTGAACCACAGCCTGTGGGCAGTTTTTATATTTTGAAATGGCTGCAAAAAAATGAAAAGAAGGAATCTCTCTGGGACATGTGAAAACCGTATGAAATAAAAATTTCAGTGTCTGCCCATAGAGTTTTATTGGCACATAACCATGCTCGTTCATTTATATATTGTCTATGTCTGCTTACATGTTACAAAGGCAGAACGGAGGCACCAAATTCATCAAAATGTATATATTAAAAATGTGCAATTTTCTGTATATTAAACATATCGCAGTAAAGCTGGAGGTGGTGGGGAGGGTGGGGAAGAACTGAGTCACTGCAATAGAGATCAGATGCCTTGCAAAGCTGAAAATGTTTGTCAACCTTCAGCAATAAAGATGGAGGACGAAGTTGGAAAAAGAATTAAAGCAAAATAAGACAGGTGCCACATGCAGCCCATTGGGGCTAGCTGCCACCAGCCAAAGAATTAGATTAACTCAGGTTTGGGCTCCTTAAGTACAAAAAGAAAATTTTAAAAATTTAAATCACTTGGCCAACCAGTGCAGGAAGGGAGAGAGTCCATGGGAGATGGTGTGTAAAGCAATTAAGAAGAATTAAGGCGGGGAAGGTATAGTTCAAGTGATAGAGCACACGCTTAGCATGCACAAGGCCCTGGGTTCAAACCCCAGTACCTCCTCTAAAAAAAAATAAGTAAGTAAACCTAATTACCTCCTCCCCTTCACAAAAAGAAAATTAAGGAAAAAAAATTAAGAAGAAATTTCCCTGGCATAATGTTAAATCAAAGAAATCAAAGAGTTTAAATCCTGGCTTTGAGAACTGTGGGCAAATTCCTTTATCTCCCTGTGCCTCAGTTTCCTCATCTGTAAAATGAGGGTTAAAAACACCACCCACCTCATTGGGGCCCTGGAGGTATAAATGAATTAAAATATGAAATGGGCATCAAATGATGCCCTGGCCCATAGTCAGGGCTGCCTAAATGCTTTTAAAAATAAAATAAGGCAGCACAGCAAATTCCATCAGCTTGGTGTCGCCAGAATTGAAAACTACATATTATTTTCCGCATTACAAAAAAAAATGGAAGGAAAGAAGAAGTGTTGACAGCAGCTGTGTCTGGGCGGTGGTGGGTTGATGGGGGTTTTACTTTGTGTTGTAGATTCTTCCGTATTTTCCAGACCTTCCACAAAGAATATGAATTGCTTTCATAGGAATGTTTCAAACAAGAGCACAGGAAATTTCAGAGCCTTGGAGAGACCCTATGGATGCATGTGCCTGGCTGCTCCTTCCCCCACTAATCCCTGTGGTGCCTTTGAAAGGTGAGGGGTGGCTGAGACTTTATGGGGTCTCCAGGCCTCTGCCTACCTCACCTACCTTTGCCAGCCTAAGAGGAAGGCTGCCTCTTACCATCCCTGCTCTTGGCTGCAGTGAACAAACTCTAGGTGGCAGAGAGGTTGGGCTCCTTGCTGCCTCCTCCCCCAGGGAGCCCTCCCTGACTCATCCTCTGAGCTGATCGACCTAAAAGAACATGTGGCCCAAACACCTGTCAAGCTATCACCCGAATGCTTCTTTCCTTTCACATCTTGGTTCAAAGAGCCAACAGCTAACCCTTGAGCAACCAGCAGTGCCTGGTACCACGTTGAACCAACACCAACTGATGCATTTAAGCTCACACTGATTTGGTGACATTGGGCTATCAGGACCCCCAATCTGCAAGTGCAGCACAGAGAGGTTAAACAGCTCGCTCAAGGGCACAGAGCTAGGGATCATGGAAATGAGGATTTGAACCCAGGCCACCACCCCATGCCCCTGTTTTATTTGCTTCAAACATGTGTCCTCTGAAATGATACTTCTTCACTTGTTTCTTGTGGTCTCCTGTTTATTGAGGAGGCTTTTGTCTGTCTTGTTCACTGCTGTGTCCCCAGTGTCTAGAAGAGTCTGGCCCATAGCAGGCACTCAATAAACATTTGCTGAATGAGAAGGCGCTAAAATGAATTAGCACATGCCAGTTCGGCACAAGCATGGCAGAGATTGAGGCTGGCTGCAGCAAGAGGGAGTTAAGGGAGACATAAGGGAGAACTTTCTGGGGGCAGCAGATTGCATAGTGTGGGGCATCACTACGTCTGTGTGTCCTGGAGGAAGGAGGCCCCATGGCTGCCCTAGAAGCATCTCTGGAATGGAGGTTGCCTCTCAAGAGATCTTGAGGCTGGGCCGGGCGGAGCCCCTGGCTGGGGGCCAGAGTCGCAGGGCTGGATGTTTGGGATAGACGCAGAACCCAGGGGTGGAGTCCAGAGCTGGCCAGGAACAACATGGGGAAACAAGAAAACACAGCTGGGTCCCCGCCCTCCAGCTTGTGCCCACCGGTCCCTCCATGGGGCTCTGACCATCTGACATTCGAGGCTGGGATGCGGATCTGAGCTCCACCTTTGAGCCTGGCTGCAGGTTCAAGCCGGCCTGGGCTTTGATCCCAGCTGTGTGACACAGGGCAAGTGAAGCTTCTCCCTGAGCCTTGGTTTCCCCAGATGCAAATGGAGTTGACCTGAACATCATCAGTAGAAGCAGCAACAAACACTGACTGAGTGCTTACTGAGTGCGCTAATTCACACGGGCTCTAGGGGTGGTGACCGTTATTCTGTCGCTTCACAGATGGGGAAGCTGAGACCTGGAGATGGTGACGCTGCTCATTCAGGTCACACACTAAGAAGTGGAATTTGAACCCAGGTTGCCTGGCTGCACAGCCCACTGTTTGTAGCCCCTCCATGGGGGAAACACTTATCAGAGCACTCAGCACCAGGCTGGTGTTCAATAAAGAACAGCTGTTATTATTATGAATCATTCTGGCAGCTTCTCCCAGGGGCCTCAGGACAGTGGTGGTGGGGCAGCTGCCGTTCTGCACATCCCACATCCCCTTTCCTGGCATGAGGACTCAGTACTTCCTCCAGGGAGCAACCTCTTCCTCCTTGAGGATTTGGGTGGGACTCCTCTATCCCCAGGATCTGGGCCTGGGCAATGAGGGACATAGTCATTAGCTCAGTGATGGCACATGACCCAAGCCAGCCAAGGAGAGCCACCCCTGGGATTTTTACTGGTGCTATCTGGATTGAGGGGCTCCCAGTCCATGTTGCTGCAAGAATAGATGCCCGGAGAGGTGGGGTAATCTTTGCTCGCTTGAGAGAGAAGCCTCCAGGATGCACACAGGAAGAGAAAGAAAGAATTAGAGATTCCTGATGATATTTAAGCACCTGGATCCAGCTACACCTGAAGCTGTCACCAAATTATGTGAATAATGTATTTCCTTTTCATGGTCTGAGATTGGTTCCTGCCACTTACTGAACTGAACAAACAGGGAGGGTTTTTTTCTGCCCAGCAACCAACTGCCATGGGGACCGTCCCACATGGACCTCCTGTTTTCTAGACATTTACAACATGCTAGACATGAGCACACATACTTAACAGACAATCAATCTCTTTGCATGGTCCCTAGAGGCACTGAGTCGGCAGCACAACAATGCCCTTTTTGCAGAAAAAGACTGAGGCTCTGAAAGCTGGAGTTGGTCTGTCTGGTGGAAGCCCAGGGCTGGGCTGGACCCTGGCATTCAGAGGAAGAAAGAGGGACCCTCCACCATCCTCCCTGGCCCGCTATGGCTCACCTGCTACCCCATCACAGCTGCGCTCTGTGATGCTGATCTTCTTCACCAGGTGGACGTTGCCGGTGGATGCAGTGGGCGTTGGGAACATTGTCTCCACCACCTCATGGCTGCGGAATACAGGGGCGCTCTCAGCCCCGCCGGAAGTCGCCAGGGCCCGCAGCCCTGTCCCGTAGGGCTCCAGACTTTGGGCTCGCTGTGCAGGGGCCCCGGCAGCTATGCTGGCTGCCACCTCCACCTCCCGTGGGCCCTCCACCACCCGGACGGTGTCCACACGGACCGGACTGTCCGGTGGTGGCCAGGCCTGGGGCTGGAGGTCGGCCTGCCGGGCCTGAGCTGCCTGCAGCTCCTGGAGCGCTTTCTTGAGCTGGGTCTCCAGCACGGCAACCTTAGCGGCAAGGGCTGCCTCCCCATCGGGCATGCCCAAGTCCCGCTCTCGGACCCACGTGCCCACGCTCCGGGTCTCGAGGGCCACCGGGTCCTCGGGGGTCTCAGGGAGATCCAGGCAGAGCTCGCTGCGGCCCCGGGCCCCTGTGGGGTGGCCTAGGAATTTCTGGCTCTTGAGCTGCACCGTGAGCTGCCGCTTCTCCTCCTGCAGTACCGACAGCTTCACCTGGAGCACGGGGATCAGCTTCACCTGCTCCTCCAGCTGCCGCAGTTTCCGCAGGGCGCCGGCCATCTGCTCCCGCACATGGGCCAGGTGGCCCGCGCTGGGCGGCACCGGCGTGGACAGTCCCGAGCTTCTTGGCGTCGGGGGTGGCAGGCCCCACACCCACCAATGAGCTCGTTGAGCCGGCCGCACTGGGGGT